GTGGAATTCACTCTGAATTGACTTCTAGTGCAGGTTGAACATCTCTAATCAAAAAAATCCAAAACATTCTGAAATATGAAGCCCTTTGGACCACATACATAATACTCAAAAAGTTTCAAGTTTTGGAGTTTTTCAGATTTTTGATTTTGGGTTAGGAATCTAAATTGATAAAGTTTATGCAAATACTACAATACATGAATATATTCAAAATCTGAAGCACATCTGGTCCTAAGCATTTTCGATAAGGTGTAATCAATCTTTACCTGCTATCTGAGAACTCTGTTTCAACTTACACAATAAAACCTGAAATCTATTATTTTAAAATACAGTATGTTTTGAGTTGTCAGGAGGCAAAGTTGGTTTTGTTTTATTTATGTTTTACATTTTACTTATTTTTATTGGTATCTAATAATTATGCACAATTTGGGGGGTTACATTGTGATTTTTCCATGCACATATACATTATACCATGTTTAAATCAGGGTATTTTTTATATTCATCACCTTAATATTTTATCATTTCATAGTATGAGACTATTCAAACTCTTATACTTTTTAAAAAATATACCATACTTTTTTTTTTTAACTATAGCCACCCTAATGTACAATAGAACACCAGAACATGTTGACCAATTCCTCATCATGTGTCCTTCTTTCTGCCCTCTCTGATCTTTGGTAGTACCATGTAGGTTTTACATATTTTTTTGTCAAAGCTAACATGAAATTCAGAAGTTAGCTGAAATTTAAAAATTCTAGAGCACCATATCTAACTTCTACCACTGCAGTGTAGAAATAATTATGTCTTCATATTTGTCCTCCAAGACCTTGAATCCTTTCAGGACTATGGGTTGCATGAGGATATATAAAAAAGATTGTATTTTTAGAAGCGTAGGCTAAGATGCACTGACATTATGGTAATTTTATTTTCTGTGCATTCTTCCTGTATTGCTAGCTAATTGAGGGCAAAGAATCTCAACTTGTATTAATATTTGTCCTTGTATCACCTATTTCAATATTTGACTCTTAACAGATCATTGTGTTTTTTTTTAATTAATTTGTTTCCCAGAGTTCCTTCTGAAGGATCAACAGGTATGCAGGCACATTTGCTTTGTGCATCTTTATAGAAACAATGCATTATGAGGTTTATACCCCCTTAAGAAATGGTTTATAGCTAATTGATACTACTTTTAAAAGAACAATTAAAATGAAGAAAGATTGCATAAATGAGGTGTTATAATTCATGCAAATCTTCACATTTGTTGTTATTCCTAACATGGAATAAAAGCTCAGCATGGATAGCTATAATAGATTAATATAACAAGTTTGCTTGCATATTTAAGGATAGTTATATATTTCAACATATTTAGATATGTTTGGAGTCAGTGGTTTAATATTAAGCACCCAGAAGTTGCATGACCAAGTACTGAGATCTGGAACTCTTAAACATTTTATTCCTAGACAAGTAGAATTTTCATTATCTGCGTCAATTTTATTTCCAATATCCCAATTGCAACTAACCAGGAAACATAGGGTTTCTAAGGAAAACTGTTTCTTTGAAATTATTTCAGGCTTTGTGATGGTTTGTTAGATGACAAAATAAGCTTTCCATTCCTGTTATTACTTTAATCTACTTTGGTTGCCTAGCGTTCTTTGATGAGTTTGAAAGTTGAAGATTTCTGAGGAACCCTTATGTTTTTTTCCTCATGGAATTCAATGTCCAATCATGTTTGTTTCTTGTTTAATTAATACAGAACATTAAGTTAATGAGGTTAAACCCATGATTTTAATTGCCAAATATTCTGTACTAAGCTCCAAATCAAAAAAAAAAAATCAATACTTTAAGATGAATAGCAATCACACTAGACAAAGAAAGATAGCATTTAATTTGAAATTTTATTTCAACTGCTAAGTTACTGTGTAATCGTGGACAAGGTAATTAACCTCTCAGGTTAAAACGTGAAAAAAATGGCATTAAATCCACCTGAACTAATTCCTAGTGATGTTGAGAAGACTGAATATAATAATATATATGAAATTAATGTTTAAACTATAAAATGTGCTAAATGCACTTAATATACTTTATTATCATTTGGACATGGATAGAAGATGTGGATAGATTATCATAAAGCCTGTCACTTCAATTGTAAAAGTAGTTAATCGCAAAAATTTCTGCATAGTATAACCTTTCATTTATCTTTGAATCATAGAAATTACCAACGTCTTAATTTGAAATTTATTGAGAAGTTCCAGAATTTTGAAGAAGCAATATTTCTAATTATAGCACTCTATGAGTTTTATCTATGATCAGGTATCACATAGCTATTAAAGAAGATCAGAGCTTATTCTTGAAGCTAGGTTTTGGGAAATGTATGACAAATTGGTTTTCTGGCTTATAGTCATAGGCTTGAAGGAAAATATTTACATCAGCTTCTAAGTATCTTCGTGATAATCCACTAATATATTTCATTATATTTTTGAGAAATTTTAATGCAACAGAAAAGTGCAAAGAATAATATGACAGCCAGCTGCATTCCAGCTATCCAGGCACAGAAGTGACTTGTGGCTTCCAAAATTATTCTAAGTCAAATGGTACCCAGATTAGAAAATATTACTTTAGTGACACCTCAGAAACCATTTTTATTTCTCATTCCAGTAACAGTGCCTGTTCCAGCTTCCATAAGTCATCCCTCTCCTAGCATTTAGATAACTCACTGCCTTCTGATTTTTTAAAAATAATTTTGTCACTCAAATATACCCCTACATGTTATCAATATCATATGCTTGTGCCCAGGATTATAATACCATGGAAACCATTGGGTGTTAATTGTTCATGCCTACCCTCTTATATTATGGGTTTTGTGGCCACACCTTGCCACCTTAATTTGTTGTAAATGGTTTCCAGTGGTTTTTATTTTTCTATTTGCTCCACCTGTTTTTATGTGAACATTCTGAAAGATTAAAAGACTTGCTAGCATGGATGCTGCCATCTTTCCAGACAGCTATTATCATTTTGTCATTTTTTCCATTAGAGCTTTTTCTCCTGCTCAAAATGGAACACTGCAGATGTAGCCTGTCTCACTTTTAACTCACATCTTCAGTCAGACTTCCCTTTCCTTCTTCCCAGTGACAGCCGTCATTTTAAACCTTTTAAGTTATATGAGTATCTTTACATAATGTGTGATATTGTTTTATATGAGCATTTTCAATTTTATAGAACTGGCCTATTGTATAAGTTCTGAATTTTGATTTATTCACTTACAAGTAGGTTTTGAGGTCTAACTTCCCTCTTATAGATATTAGGCATTCTTTTAAGTGAACATGTAAGATTTCACTTATCCATTCTCCTACTGGTGGACATTCAGATTATTTTTAGTTGTGTATAATGACAAAGTAATGATTAATATCTTATACTTACCTTCTTGTGCTCATGTGTAAAAATACTATGTTCTTAAATGGAACTGTTGGGTGTGGTTCTTGCAGTGGTCAATTTTAATCATTGCTTCAACATGACTATATCAACTGAAGTTATAAGGAGCCGCTTCAGAAAACACCCTAAGACTGAATTCAAATCAAGGAGAACTTTATTTACCTGGGCAGGGACTGCTACCCACCCATAGAGACTGAAGCTCTGTGGGAGAGCAGCAATTTCCTGGCCTGTGTCTTGGGAATTTAAGGACAAAAACCACAGCTCAGGGGCTTTTCTCAGTGTCAAGCAAGCCAGCCAATCACAAAGGCTAAATAGTAGTTACCTGTGAACCCTGAACTGGACTGGAATTTTCCAGTTAGCAAACAAGCACGTTACAGAAACTAAAAAGCAGTCAGCTTGCAACTCAGTTAACTGCATCTTGGGTCAGAGCAGGTGTTAAACAACCATACCCTGAGTTCACACAGGTAGTTAGCAGGGGCGAGAATCTATTTCAAAGTCTTGGGTCACCAAGAACACCACATGCTGGATTGAGTACATTTTGTGAGATAAGAAGTACAGAAAACAATATATTATAAGAAAACAGATTTCATTTCAATTTTTCAGAAATGGCTCTTACAGCAGTGTTTTTTTAATAGAAGGTAGCAAAATGGAATCAGGCCTGTCTATGACAGTTTTTGCTTTATGCTTTACAATGGTCTTATCTCACTTATCAAAATCTTATATCTATAATCTATCTATCTATCTATCTATCTATCTATCTATCTATATATATATATATATATATATATATATATATTTCACTAATCTATAACCTATAAGTTACATTCTTATTGATTGTATGTATCAGTTCATACCACAACACTGATACTTCCATCAGCCAATCCCTTAAGTGCCAATTGCTTCACGTTTTCACCAAATGATTTTACTCAACTTTCAAGTTTTGGAAAATCTAGTCAATAAAAACTAAAGTACTTTATATACACAATAGAGTATTACTCAGCCATAAAGAAGAATGATTTTATGACATTTGTTAGTAAATGGATGGATCTTGAGACCAATCTGTTAAGTGAAATAAGCAATTCCAAAATAACAAAGACCAAATATTTTCTTTGATGTGTGGACAATAATCCACAATAAGGGGGCAGGGCAGAATAGAAGTTCAGTGAATTAGACAAAGAAGAATGAAGGAAAGGGAGGATAGGAAAAGGAAAGACAGTGGAATGAATCTGTCATAACTTTCCTATATTCATATGTGAATACACCACAGTGAGTTTCACTCTCATGTACTTATGCAAGAAATTAATTAAAAAAAAACTATGAGTAAATGTCAATAAGATCAATAGAGGGAAGGGGAAGGAGAGGTACTGGGGTCTGAGTTAGAATAAGATATCTTCCATGCTTGTATAATTATGTCAAAATTTATTTTACTTCATGTACAACTAAAAAGAACCAATAAAATTAAAAAAAAAATAAGTGCTGATTCTCAAGTTTTCATTTCTCAATATGCTCTTGAGATTAAAATTATATTTTTTAAAGAGAGAGAGAGAGAATTTTTTAATATTTTATTTTTTTAGTTTTCAGCGGACACAACATCTGTTTGTATGTGGTGCTGAGGATCGAACCCGGGCCGCACGTATGCCAGGTGAGCGCGCTACCGCTTGAGCCACATCCCCAGCCCTTAAAATTATATTTAAAAAGTTTCCTATATCTATGTTTGGTACAAGGGGTGGAAGAATTTTAGCATTTTCTAGATCTTTTGTTTGACAATGATGATTTTTTCAAAAATTTCTTTCCTCAAACTTGGATAGGTTTCCATTACGTAATGATAACTTATTCTGGCCTAGGCTTGCCTTAATTAATGCATTGAATCATAATTTTGGACAAATTGATATGTTTTCAAAATTGATATGTTTTATGGCATTAAATAAAAAAGTATTACTTATTAATGTTTACTCATTTAAAATTATTTTTTTCTTTTCTCATAAATGCAATATGTACTTGGAAATTTAGGGAAACATTGATATTCACCATCGATAAAAGAAATATAGCTCACAGTTTTAACAAATAGTTAAAGCCACTAATGACACATTTTCAAGTTGAGCATTTTGGTTTTCTCTCCTACCTGTTTCCTTTGTTCTCTTTGCTTCTCTTACCTTCTGCTTGTCCCTCTCCTCTTCTATCCCACTTTTTCTTTCCTTGTTCCAATCAGTTTCTTACTTAAATACGTGGCTTTCTCTCAGATATTGAGAATTTAACATTTATATGTTTTATTTCATTGCATCGTGGGAAGGGAAGACTCATGTACTCCTCTTATTTTGTTTTCTCATTTATGCCACGGTTTTCAGCATCTCCCCATGTATTTGTTAGAGTTTACTTCACTGGTTCTTTATTTCATAGGTTCTGGTAGATAGAAGGTATATATCTTTATTTGCAACTTTTTTTTCCCTAAAAAAATATAATGCTTTGTGTTTAGATGTGTAGTGGTGCCCTCCTTGGTCACTAAACACTCTGTTTTTAATATTGATCCAAATTGAAATGGTCTGTGGGTCTTGAACTGCTGGCTCCAGCGATCCTCCTGCCAAAACCTTCCCACCGGCTGAGACTTCAGGAATACATGGCCACACCTGGCTTGGCACGTGATTTCATTGCTTCTAACATGTGTATAGATTTTAGAGAGTTATTAACCACATTTGTCTATAGATTGCCACAGATGGAATCCTGGTATTTCATTCCAATTCTAAGCTAAGCCAATGCCTCATTGATGAATACATTTGTATATGCTCTTTATGGACCTTTGTGCTAACTTCTACAGTTTGTACCCATGGAAAGATGGAAGAGATATGGAAATAGTCTTACTTTTAATTAACTCTTGCCTGGCACCATTCCAAAATTCCTGTCCCTGCCTATACCCAGTAAATCAGCAAAGTAGATTGAGTGTGTTTACACATAGCATTCATTATCCAGTTTTTAAAAGTTATGCCAATCTAATGTGTATAAGGCAGTAGATTATATGTAGTTAGCATTTATTCATTACACATGGTTGAGAGTACCTCCTCATTTATTTACAAGTTTAAGATTTCTCCTCTATTAATTTTATGTTCATATTCTTTATTTTCTCAGGGTTTACATCTTATTAATTTGCATAGACCTTTATTTTGTATATTCTATTCCCACATTAGTTTTATTTGAAACCATGTTTTTATTTTTTTCCACTTTGGTATTTTAAAACATTTCAGTGGCTTCAGTCATATTATAGTTTCTTCAGTATAGTGCATGTTTGTATCTTGGCTATGGTTATTTTTAAGGTGTTTTTTTTTTTTTAAATCTTGGTCAATAGCATTTTGGTTATAATCTTATAAGTATGGTTTTCTTGGTATTTATAATACTTAATGGTTTGTTACTTTCTCCTCCCTTTTTTGCTTTCTTTCCAAATTTTGGACAAGGTCTCATTATATTGCACATGGGACCTCAAACTTGCCATCCTCCTGCATCACCCTTCTGAGTAGCTGGGATTATAGGCGTGCACCACTGCACCTAGCCTATTAGTTTCTTCTATGTTTATGTTGATGTCTTTCATCATTTTGGAAACTCTCAGCCATTACCCGTATACACATGTCTATGGTCCCTTCCAGCAGCTTCTCTTCCTCTAAATTACACTATCCTTACGTTAGGTTTTCACATTGACTCACTGGCTTCCTTTGCTCTGTCCTTTTCATTATATGTATTTCTCAGTGTTTCGGTTTAAATATTTTCTATTCATCTGGTTTGAGTTTACTAATCCTCTCTTACACTACATTTACCTGATATAATACACTTAAAATAACCAGGAATTTAATTCTTAATTTTAGATATTTTTTAGCAAGAGAACATTCAACTAATCATAAAATTAATTCATATTTCTGTTGAAATTTTTCATCTTTTCATTCATTGAATGTTTTCCTATGTATATCCTCAATGGCTAATTCCAATACTCCAAAATCTGAACCATATGCATCTGCTTCTGTTGTCCAGTTTTTCCTTGAGCAGAAGTCACATTATCTGTCAATTTGAATTTTCTATTAATTTGTGTTACATACTAAGCATCATAGGTAGATATTATCAGTACCTTGAGATGATACTGTATCCTCCAGGGAGATTTCTTCCTTTCCTCTCTTAGACAGATAGAATAAGGGACTGGTCTTCTATAGGCAACAAGCCGGTCAGATGAGTTTGGGCTGTGTTATGGTTGAGAAAGTCAGTGCCTCTTTGGCTTGTAGAAAATAATCCCCCTGATTTTGATGAACAGATTGATAAGCCTTTGCCCCTAAAGTCCTGAAGGACTGTGGGAAATTTCTTGCTCTCAGACATTTTGAAATCAGCCCTTCAATCTCCTACCCCATTTGCATCAATATCTGCAAGTATCTAGATAGTAGTTTTGACTGGGTGCTGGAAATAGGTTTGACCCCACTGTAATAAGATATTGTCTCATAATAATCAGAAAGCTGTGAAACATTTTATGGCATCTTTTAGAATAGCTTTCTATTCCCTATATCAAGAGCTTCAACAGTTTCCCTTTTCTCAAATAAAGTCCCTCTGTGTAAGCCAAGCTTTATCTTCAGCCTCTAGGAAGAAAATGAGCTAATATATACAAAAGGCATTTTCTTGGTAGCCTCTGCAGCTCTCAGACTTTTTTCAAAGTATTTTTTAAAGTTCAATTTTGTTTTATCTTGTCTCAGCAGGAATATTGACTTCTCATGGCCTCTTTGTCTTATGAGAATGCAGAAATCCTTTGTCATTTCTTTTCACTGCAAATATTCTGTCCATGTGTCATCTGTCTGTTTATTGGACAGAAATTCTTAGATTCATCAACATTTCATCTTATGGCTTGTAACTTGGTGGGTTTATTTAAGAAGTCCTTTTGTTACATGAACTTCAAATTTTTCATTAAGGCTTCTATGTAAAGATTACCATTGGAAACAGTGTTAAAGATGGGATCAGTTTTATTTTTCTTCATATCTACTTCAGTTTGACCAATGTCACATGAAATAGACTGCTTGGTCGATTGCTTTAGGGGATATCTTGACACATTAGGGGCTATTCGAGGCTTCACATTTAGTTCTGTCAATTTATTGATCCATTTTTGAACTTGTGCTATGTTATTTTTATACTTGCATTTCAAAGTTTGCTTCATATCTGGTCCCTTTTTACTTTTGTTTCAGAACTTATTCTTAGGTATTTTTGGGTTTTTATACTTCTTTAGTAATTTTAGTATATATCTATCAAATTCTTTTTAAAAACAATTAGAATTATGATTGGAGTGAAGTTGTTAATTAGGAAAGAATTCTGTTTCACAGCATGAATTATTCCTGTCCAACACCCAAACTCTTTCCACTTATCTTCCTTTACATTTTTTATAAAGACCAATATTTTTGATGAAATGATTGCTAGGTACATTTAGTTGTTTAGTTTTTGTTATTATTACAACTCAGCTTTTATTACTACCAAAATGTTACTTGTATTTTTGTTATATTTTTATATTTTTTATATAGAGAAACACAATGTTTTTTATTGGTTCTTTTAGTTATATATGACAATAGAATCTATTTTGATATATTTATATAAGCACAAAAAAAACACAATGTATGTTTTAAATATTTATTTTGATTTCAACAGGCATGTTAGAATTTTCTTATTTATGCAAATGGGTTTTCTATTCATTATTTTGATTTTTATACCTGGATAAACTCTTCTTTAGTATTCATTATATCTTTTATTTATTTTGATTTTATTCAAAAGACTATGAGAAGTCATCCTATGATAATAGATGCTTTTATTAATTTCTGATCTTAAAGAGCTTTTATGTATATATTCTCCATCAAATGTAATTTTTACTCTATTTGAATTTCAGTCTTTGCCAAAGTAAGGAGATTTATTTCTGTTCCTTGCTTGCTAAGTGCTTTTGTCCTAAGTAAGTTCTGGACTTTGAAAAATACTTTTGAGTGTATGTGTGTGTGTATGTGTGTGTGTCTTTGAAGATGATATTATTGTTATCTTTGAGTCCACTAGTGTGGTGAATATCATTGATATATTTTTTTAGTGTTGACATACTGACTCAGAGCATAATCTATTATTTGCAAACTCATTTATTTTAGAGTTCTGCAGCTTTGTTATAAGTGAAATAGGCCAGTGATGGCTTTTATAAAATTATTTTTTAAAATTTATATATGATAGCAGAATGCATTACAATTCTTATTACACATATAGAACACAATTTTTCATGTCTCTGGTTGTATACAAAGTATATTCACACCAACTCGTGTCTTTATACATGTACTTTGGATAATAATAATCATCACATTCCACCATCATTTCTAACCCCATGCTCTCTCCCTTCCCTCCCACCCTTCTGCCCTATCTAGAATTTGTTTATTCCTCCCATGCTCCCCCTCCCTACTTCACTATGAATCAGCCTCCTTATATCAAAGAAAACATTCGTCATTTGGTTATTGAGGATTGGCTAACTCCACTTAGCATTATCTTCTCTAACTCCATCCATTTACCTGCAAATGCCATGATTATATTCTCTTTTATTGCTAAGTAATATTCCATTGTGTATATATGCCACATTTTTTTATCCATTTATCTACTG